TATTATATGTTTTGGTGTTGTTCTACTTGAGTCCCTTGTGTTGCTAGATCTGTGGACTTTCATGGCCTGAGAGACTATTTCCTTCCCCAATTTGGGGAAGTTTTCAGCAATTATTTCTTCAAATACACTTTCTAACCCTTTTTCTCTCTCTTGTTTTTCTGGTACCTCTATAATGTGGATATTGTTCTGTTTGGATTGGTCACACAAATCTCTTAATCTTTCATTCCTAGAGATCCTTTCTTCTCTCTCTGCCTCAGCTTCTCTGTATTCCTGTTCTGTAATTTCTATTCCATTTACTGTCTGCTCTACCTCATCTAATCTGCTTTTAAATTCCTCCATTGTTTCATTTCAGTTATCTTCCTCCTGAATTCATCACTTAGCTCTTGAATATTTTCCTGTAGCTCCATTAGCATTCTTATGACTTTTATTTTGAATTCTTTTTCAGGAAGATTGATTATTTCATTTTCACCGAGCCCAAGCCCTCTTTCTGGTGTTTGAGGGATTTTGGATTGAACAACGTTCTTCTGCCTTTTCATAGTCTTGAAACAATGGGAGTGGTTGCAGGGGAGTGGCATGGGTGTCAGCTGGGAGGACAAAGTCCCTTCCTCACCAGTCACAGTGCTTGTCTGCTGTCTCTGCCAGTTAACCGTGTGCAGGGAGAAGCCTCTGTGTTAATCCCCTAAATGCCATGGGCATGGCAGCCCTCGGGATGGCCTAGGGTGATTGTGGGGGTCATTGAAAAGCAGCATGCAATTTTTCAGGGAGGGCAAAGCCCTGTCATGCTTCCTGGTCACTTTGCCTGTCTCAGCTGTCTGGGCTGGTTAGCCACGCACAGGGAGACACCTCTACATTAAGTTGCTGCCCTCTGGCTGGTGTGCAGCAGTGGTGGGGACAGTGGGTTTGCCCACAGGTTCCAGCAGGGAGGAAGGAGCCTCAGGCTGCTTATCAGGGTGAGGAACATCAGGGCTGGGTTGCCAACCAGGAGGATAGGGTGCCTGAAGCTCCTGAAAGTTCCCAACTTGTTGGGCTGAGAGTGCCAGGGCGATTTTTTCCACCTGTTCCTTCTCCTAAACCCTTGCTCTTTTAACAGCCTTCTGACTGTTGAGAAGCCTTTTAAAGTGCCTGCTTTTTTTCTTGTCCCCACCATCTTATTCTCTGACTTCAGTTTTCAAGCCCTCTAATCTCCAGAGCACCATGCAATGTGGGTCTGTACTCTGGGGATAAATTTCTAGGGCTGGGTATTTAGCAGTCCCATGCTTCCATTCCCTCCTTGCTCTGATTCTCTTCCTCCAAATGGTGAGCTGGGGTGGGGGGATTACTCAGGTCCCGCTGGATCGTAGCTTTTTACTTTACCCTTTTCCATGAGATGTTGACTTCTCCCAGATGTAGACTGACCAGTGTACTCTTACTTCTGGTCAATCTTTTAGAAATAGTTGTATTTGCTGTATTTTCAGAATATATGTGGTTTTGGAGATTTCCGCCACACTTCTCACACTGCCTACTTTTCTCCTTTCCGAGAGGAATGACCATCTGTATTCTTGAGCATTAATTTCTTTCCATGGTGCTAGACTCAAGGCCTGCTCAGACAATCTTAATCCCTGACCTCCTCTTTTGTTGTCTGAAACTGGGAGAATTCCATACTTCCTAGCTTCCACAGTAGTTTCCCATGTCAACTGTTAATTTTGTGTTCTAAGAATATTTTTCAATTACAGTCACTCGAGCTTTTTTGAAAATACTTTTAGGTAGCTCCTTATGATAAACAGAAATAAATGAGGGAATGGAGATGTCAACCAGATCCCAGAACCCTGCAGCTACTAGAGTAGTCATCATCCAGATGGGAGAGATTGTAAAACAATGTCTTGGTCTCTCTACTATGAAATAAAAAAACGTGACAAAGGGACCAGTGTTTCTTGGGTTTAGTGGGGGACAAAACTATGGCTTCTGTATATAACACACAAGTAATAAACACTACACTAAGACACAATGTCATTGCTGAGGAAGACAGGTGAAAATGATAGAAATACCCAGAAGCCAACAAAAAAATTGGCTACAGTTAACAGATCCAGGGACAGTGTCATCACAAATGAGGTATGGAGGACATTTTTAGTGCTAAGTAACTTTATAAGCATCTCATTTGGCACATATTTAAAAAGCCCATCAGTTAGAATAAACGGGGAAAAGTAGGTATTGATGTTCAAAACTAAATTCTTGATTTTTACCTGGTCCTTATTCATTCATTCATCCATCCATCCATTCATTCATTCATTCAATTTATCATCCATTGATTCATCCAAGGAATATTAATTGAATCCCTATTATAAGTCAGACATTGTAACTAGGAATAAAGTAGTGAACACAACAGACAAAATACCTTTTTTCCTCATGGAGCTTATGTTTTAGTTCCAAGCAATTAGTAGCTGTTGATTAAATATGCCTTTCTTTAATGAAAACTATAACCATTCCTAGCAGAACTTTTTATCAACTCCCCTTTTTCAGGATCAGTAAAATTTGGTGCCCTGGATATTGTTCACAAAGCTAAGTTGAGATAATTATGCATAGGAAACTGCCAATATATGCACAAAAAAGTAATAAATATAAGGTGTAAGAAATCTATATATACTTGTTCAATGGTAATTGGTCCATAAATAGATTTTTTTTCTGCTTGATTTTGAACTTCCCTAAACCCATCCAAGTTATTTATTTCCTGTTGTGCACCTCTGCATGAACACTTACTCTGTCTTTTGTTTTCAAACCTCAAGATAAGGCCTAATATCAGAGTGTTAAAAGTGGGTGCCCAAATGAATCTTACTTTCAAGGTCCTGACAAGTTGCCAGCATAAGGAAAAAACACTCAAATCCATGTCCTGCCTTAAGAGATTTCAATTCTCCAGGCCATTCAACTTCAAAAAGAAAGGAGCTTGTGAGACCATTTGCCCTCTAGGCAACAGAGAATAACATTTAGTACCCTGTATCCCTAGAATGGTCAAGAACAATGAGCCCAATCTGTCCTGAGATGATGGCTTTCATTGATGTCCAACTCATCACAAGGGCTAAGGCTCGTGGAGATTCTTCTGGAAGCAATACCAAGTAACATTTATCCTAGAGGCAAAGGGGATTGTTGGGGGGATATTGTTTTATAGAGTAGAGTATTCAGCAAAGAAGGCAGAGAACCAATCTCCCATAACTAAAACATGTGGGTGTTCACTGTGCAGTTCTTCAAACTTTATGAATGCTTCAATATTTTATCATAAAATATTGGCCCTCTTCATTCATGGTTTATACAGATAAGGTCTTTGGATTGAAATAGAAAATGTCATATTCCTCTTTCCAACAGTCAATTCTTTCCCACCCATTATATTCAGAGTAAATCTAAGCTCCATACTGTCGAGGGTGGTCTTTTATCTCCCTGATCCAGCACATGTTATTTTACTTACTCTCAATTGAATGAATTTCCATGAGGAACAGGAATGAATGAAGGCACACTGTGTTTCAAACATACACTTGGAGCTCCATGTCCATCCCAATGCAGGTATCCCCTCTCCATTCAATGTGTTTTCAACCACCTCACTTTTTTCTTTCATCAGTTAAGTCATCACTTCCCCTAGCAAGTATTTCCTGACCATTGATAATGGAGGAGATGTCTCTTTTCTGTGCTCATTTGAGAAAACCCTATGACTTTTATAGCTGACATTTCACATAGCAGTCTTATCACAACTAAATTACTGTGTGCAAATTGATCATTGTGATCAGGCTAGGTATTCCCTCTCTTCTAGTTTACCAGTTCCTTTAGGGTGTCAGATACTTCCAATGATGAGAATGGGACTGGACTATTCAATAATTTCTTTAAAATAAACTTCTAACCAAATACTGAGAAAAGCCTACAAACACATATGCATTAAATGTAATAGTTGTTTTTTCTGTTGATGTGATCTCAAAACAAAAGAAGGTGGGGTTGGAGATTATGCTAATGAGAAACATGACTTTCTTCTCCACTACCCACAATATTTTGATCAATCATGTTTAAGCTGTCACAATAGAGCACCAGTCTGTGACCTTTCTCAAAGCCTTCAAGAAGCCTCTCTCCTGTTACTAGTTTCTCACGACTTACTTTGGGGACAAGCATATTTTTGCCACTGACTACCTTTGTGGAGGCTTGGCCTTAGAACCTAGTAGAAGGCAGACTGCTTTCCTTGTTGGTAAGGACAGGACTTGGGACAGTTGAAAGTGGGTGAATAACAAAAAAGAGTTGGGTAAATCACAAAGGTCATCTTCCTGCTATAAGACATTAACAGACATCAGACACCAAGTTTACTGTTCCGGAGCAGTAAACGTGAGTGACAAGAATAGAATGTTTGACTTCTAATAGTCAGGTTTCACTTTCACAAAACTTCCCAGTCACCCCCTTAGCCCACGCTTGACAGACAAAAAAGGGCCCAGTCCTCCAGCCCTTCCTCTGCCCCTCTCTCCCGCCATTGCCTGAGGAAGTCCCAAGTTCAGCCAGTTGATTCTAGTTACTAAAGGATAATTTTCAGTTATGGAGAGATGAAGCTCAGAGCTTTAGAGAAATGAGTGTAGAACATTATCAAGGAGTTTCCTGAAATAAAATTTTCCAGGAGCCTGCCAAAGATTTCCCTGCATGGTGCTTGAAAAGTAATTGGGGTTCTGGGAATAGCATTCGCCTGCCGACGAATGATCGAGTTTGGATATCATTAATTTTAAGAATCGCAAAGTGTAAAATAGTCCTCAACAAAGAAAATATTCTGGAGGAAAGGATAAATTTAAGGCTAAACTAATTCAAGGATGTAAAAAGACAAGTGAAGCGTCAGTTTCTGTAGTGTAGTAGTTATCACATTCGCCTAACCTGCGAAAAGTCCCTGATTCAAAATAAGGTGGAAACAAGAGGCTTTGTCTTCATGTGTGTGGAGTTTTATTCCATAAGTTTTCTATCTGAATCTGTTTATATTTCCAAGTCTCAAATCTTTGCACCCCTTTGCAATGCAGGACTTTTAAGTTACAAGAATTACGGAACAAGACCAGACCTGAGACTTGTCACCTCTCCTGGCTCAACTTGGTAAGACAACTGCGCCTCGCGGTGGGAGGTGTTCTTAGAAGGAGGAGCGGTCCCCAGACATTCGGGGCCGTAACAGAGTTGAAGATCCCTGAGACAGCAGAGTAGTTGTAAACTAGGAGAATCAAGAAGCCTCAAACTGCAGCAGAATGAGCCAAGTGGAAAGTAGCTCAATTAGGCAGGGAGGGAATGGATTAAATGGAGCCTTGTTAGGCCATTGCTTAATGACTCTGATCTTTACTCTGATATAATAAAGAGATGTTGCAGTTTAAACAGTGAAATGACTCCATATAACAGGCTTTTCAAAAGAGATCTACCAGCTCTGTGGAGAATATTTTGTTTGGAGAAAGGAATAGAAACAAGAAGACATATTATGTCCCTTTCACCATGCTGCATATCAGAGATATATCATAACTGTGGCTTAAACACAATAGCGGCAGTCGAGTTGGTGAGAAGTAGTGACAGTCTAGATGTATTTTCAAGGTAGAGTAAAAATAAATTTCTGAGGAGTGAAAGTAGAATCAATGATGACTTAGAGGTTTTTTGCTCAAAAACTGAAAGGGTGAAGACTGAAATGGGGAAGACTAGATGACAGTATTATTGGGGAAAAACTAGGAGTTCTGTTTTTAGACATGCTAACTTTGAGATACCTTGTTAAAATACTCAAGTGTAGAGTGTTAAAGAATCAACTGGATATACAAGCCTGGCATCAAGACTGCAGATACAAATTTGGGAGTTGTGGTCATATAGACATTGGTTAAGCTATCAGAATAGATGAAATAACATAACCAGGGACTGAAGTACATAAAGAAGAGGTCCAATGACCATGCCCTAAGATTCCATTATGAAAAAAAGGTGATTGAGAAGAGGGGAAACAAAGGATATTGAGAGGGTAAAGTGAGTGAGGTATAAAGACAATCAGGACAGCAATGTCTTGAAAGTCATATAAAGAAAATGTCTTAAGAAGGATAATGGCCTCTGAGAAGTCAGGAAATTGGAAGTGATCATTAATTTTAATATTTACAGGTCATTGGTGATCTTGACAAACAGTTTTCATGAAATGGTTGCGCCAAAACCCTGAAAGTAGTTGGTTTGAAGAAGAATGGGAGGAGAGAATGTGGGAATTCATATATAAAGTATAAAAATCATATGAATAATCATATCTGACTTGATTGTTTACAGTTCATGATTCGTAGTCACAACAGAAACAGTTTCTATGATACGAGTGCCCTTGCATTGTTTCCTATATAAGAACTTGTTCACCATGTGAGAACTTGTTCGTTATGCTTCAGAAGATTGGAGACTGATAAGAGTTGGACTTGATTAATGATTGTGCATGGAGTCCCCTATACAGAATCTTATTGTTGTTAACAACCATTTAATCAATAAATATGAGAGGTGCCCTCTCAGCACCACTCTTGCGCTGTTACGCCTTGAGTTCCCTGGCTGGTCCTTTC